CAGTCCACATTGCTCTTCTCTAAATGATTAAGGCGTTTCAATGTAATCAACCTTTTCTAGTAAGTTTCTGCTACATTATGACCTAATTTAATCCTCGTACACATCTTTGTGATACACTATTGTTATTTATATTTTAATAGCTAGAAATCATTGAGGCTTGAAGATTTAAGGACTTCTGAAATGGACTTGGCACTTCTTGCTTAACTGAAGCTAATATCTTGCACAACCTTGAACAAGAATCTCACTTAACCTTCTATTCCTTAAATTTTTCCTTCTTTTTTTCTTTTTATAAGCAGTAAGAACATCTGTCCTGCCAATTTCTTGGGCATTCTGGGTAGATATGATGGTGCTCTGGAATGATTAAAACCCCAGAAGGAGATGGATATGCCACTTAAATTTATTTTTATTTTTAAATTATGCTTGTATATGTGTGAATGTGAGTGGAGTGTCTGAAAAGGCCAGGGTTGGATGTCCTGGAATTACAAGGCACTGGGACCTGAACTCAAGTCTTCTATAAGAACAGCCAGCGCTCTTAATTGCAAAGTCATCTCTCTAACCCTTTATAAGTTGCTTTTAATGTTTCCTCTATTACCTGAGTGAAAGTCTTCATAAAGAACAGATCATAGTTAGGAGAAAACCACTTCCAGACTGTCCTCTGCTTCCCGAGCTCAGTAAGAGCAGACACACAGAGGTAGAGGCGTGGGGACTGACATCACAGACTTTCTGTTCTGCAACCTTTTCACATTTTACCGAAGTCTGAAGTTAGTGCAGTTTCTGTTGCCCAGTGTTAGTTCTAGTGATGGGTATACCCTAGAAAGCCCAGCTCCCACAAAAGGCAGTGGGAGACGGTGTTTCATGACAGTGTGCGCATGTTCAAATGACCATTTTTTTAAAAAAAATTATAGGTGGAGATGTAGTTCTGCTCGTTTTAATGTTTACTAACTGTCTCAAGAAGAGCTCACCGTGTCTCTTCAGGTATGCAGTGTGCCTGATACAAGCTGCCTGTATTATATCACGGCAGTGTGTGATGGCAAAGCATCCTGTGGCAGCTGCCCTAGGATAGAGTGGGCTTCTAACGTTGCTTAATAGGGGGGAGGGAAGGAAGGAGTCAGAAGAACAGAAGAGTACTTTGAAGACTTGCGAATTGTCTCTAGCGAAGGAGATTTGTGTGTATATAATTACCGTTAGTTGTTTTTGTTTATGAAGCTCCTGCAATTTCCCTGGACCAGATTCTTAGTCCCAAGCAAAGTACTGACGTGCTGAGCGAACCAGCTGTTTCCAGTCCTTCAGGGTGGCAGTTCTGAGCCCAGGGATGCACTTCTCGTGAAATGATGCTTCTTGCCTCGAAAACTCTGTGGCCTTCCCCAGTGCCATTACAGAGGATGTCCTTATAAAAACAAGACTGTCTAACAGACATCTTGAAGGAAAAAACAGCTGACCTCGTGTGGGGTCAGTTCTCTCAGAAGTAGTCTGAGAAGCTGGTTTTATATAAACTTTACCGTGTCATCCCTTACTTTGTATTTTCAGCGACGTGTAGCGTCTTATGGATTCTAAACACGTTAGAGCGATCAGAAGCGGTCTTACACAAAATCCTACTCATGTCTGCTATTGTCTAACTTCCTACCACTTGAAAGGCATGTGTGTGTGCTCTGTTTGTGTGTGTGTGTATACACACATGTATGTATTTAGGTATGTAAATAAAAATTGTATGATCTAGGCAGATTTTTACTTGCATAATCTTAGCATTTGGGATACAGTAGAAGGAATTCAGGCCACCCTCAGGTATGTGGTGAGTTTGTATCTCGCCTGATTGTGTAAGAATCTGCGCCTGATTGTGTAAGAATCTGCCTCAAAGCCAGGCGGTGGTGGCGCACACCTTTAATCCCAGGCAGAGGCCTGCGGATTTCTGGGAATTCAAGGCCAGCCTGGTCTACAAGAGCTAGTTAGGCACCAAAAAGCTACAGAGAAACCCTGTCTCGAAAAACCAAAAAAAAAAAAAAAAAAAAAAAAAAAAAAAAATCTGCCTCAAAGCTGCACGTGGTGGCGCATGCCTTTAATCCCAGTGCTTGGGGAGGCAGGCAGATCTCTGAGTTCAAGGTCATCTTTGAATACTGAAGGAGTTCCAAGGTAGCCAGAGAAAGCTTGTTTTGGAAAAACCAACAAACAAACAAATAACCTTCCCCCTCAAAACCAAACCAAACCAAAAAAAATGAAACACCCCTCCCCCCCAAAGAACTTGTCTCAAAAGTAAGAAAGATATGCACACGTAAACATGTACACGCAGTAGTGAAGGACTCACTTGGCCTGATTATAACGTATATTACAAATTTAAAAAAATTGTAAAAGTATTTAATTTTGTTAATAAAATCTTATAAATTGGAATGTAATAACTGAGTTCAGAAATGAAATTCTTTTTAAGTGTGGTGTCAGGAATACTGTGGGGATGGCAGAAGGGTAAGGAAAGAAGCCCCTGCTAGGGGCGGAGACTCTGTCCTGTGTGCACCATCGCATTCTGAAGAGCAGTGGGAAGGAAAACAGAATGTAAGACAAATGTCTTTTTCAAAACGGACACAACTCTATTAAGTAAATTTACAGGGTTTTTTGATAGTATGAGCAGGGAGAGCAATATGTGGAAGAGACATATTTTTATAAAAAATGTGCTGCCTCCCTGTTAGAAATGAAATGAGTTTAAATTGTTAAAACACCTCTGTAGATAAAGATAAGGAGCCGTGTTTTTTCTCCTGTGGAAAACAGGCACATTATTGCTGGTGTGGCTGAGTACCTCAGCCCTTCTGGGGAGTAGCAGAGTCATGTATTTGGAGAACAGTGATGGTGGCCGTGGGACCTGCTGAGTGGTCACAAGGAAAGGTGGCTGCCGTGGCCCCGCGTGCACGCTTGTCATCCTAAATCACTGAGCGTCTCACACAAAGCCTTCCACCTTTCCCATCCATTGACATTTACTCTGCAAGTTATTTGCCTATAGGGCACACATATTGTTTTAAAAATGCAGAAAGGGTTCTTTATTCCCACATTCGTGTTTAGGATCCTATTTTTGTAAGTTCATCTTTGTTCCCCTCATAGCTGGATTCTTATTTCACCTTTTGAAATTTTTTCCAGGGAGCGAGCACTTTGTCAGGGAAGCCACACTCCACAGCTGCAGTCCTAGGGCTTGGGGTGTGGCTCAGCCGCAGTAGTGATGGCTGTCTCTGAGGTATCCACAGGCGCTTGTGCGCGGAACCTCCTGGAAGGTCAAAAGGCTGACCCAGTGTCCTTTGCTACGTCTTGTATTGGATTCCGCGACACTGAAGCCTGTTGTGCTGACTCAGGATAAACTTAGCAAAAATCAAGTTGTGTAAGTTCAAGCTGTTGTACAAAACGGGTTTGCTGGGTTTGCTACCAGGCTGCCCTCTTTTTTTTTTTTTTTCTGGGTTGATACCAGGCTGATATCAGAAGTTTTAGGAGCTTCCAGATCAGTTGGGTAAGCCACAGTGAACATTTCTCTGCTATGTAATATTTTATGAGGAAAATATAAAGCTTAAGTACTTATATTCTCAGGAAATAAGTGTTAGATTTTTAGACAAGCTTTTGGAAACCATAGCTGAAAAATCTTATCTTGCTTATTCATCTTTATAAATGTCTTCAAGCAAAAACTGATGGTGTAAGATACAAAATAAATTCATGTAAAGACCCTGCAGTTTGTCCTGGCTGTGTAGAGGATCCACTGCAGGTGACAGAGACCTCACTTGGCAAGACAGAGAATTTCTATTTTTATGTTTTGATTCAGGAACCTTGGACTTGTGTGATGATCTTACTCTGTGTGGTTTGGACTTTGGGATGGAGGCTGATGGTGTTAGGGTAGCACGGACCACTTATTGGTTTTGTTTAAAATTTAGTATGTGTTAATTGCCTTTAAAATTATATTTACTGATTTTATTGAGTAGCTGGCGGTTGTGACGGACTGAAATAAAAACCGTGGTTTTATTGATGGTCTTTTTATGGCTGCAGCAAGATAGTAGCCTTGGCAATAAATGTTTGGTGAGTTTTGAATTGGAAGGTTTGGATGGTTTTGAGGAAGGGTGATTAATCTGTAACCATTTGCAAGATGCCTGTGATATGTGTCGTGGTGTTTACTGTCCTTGGAGGGGATGGAAGGAAGCAAATACCCCGAAGACAGAGGAGGGGGAAACAAGTGCCCTGCAGCTCTGAGGACCAGAGTTTATACCTAGAGTGTGTATGATGGAGGGCGATTGGCATGCTTGGAAAGATTTGATAAATAATAATGTCAGAGAGAGTCGAGAGAAGCCTGCATTGGCAGTGGGGTAGCTGGGAATATCCAGTCCTTGGAGAGGAAGTCTGGTGTGTGTAAGTTGACCTCCAGTTACCAGGCACAGCTTTTCACCTGTTCTTTGGTTCTCCCTCTACCTTAGGAATAGGTCTAATTGGTGTGGTTATCACTACCTCTCCTCTCTCTCTCTCTCTCTCTCTCTCTCTCTCTCTCTCTCTCTCTCTCTCTCTCTCTCTCTCTCTCTCTCTCTCTGTATGTGTAATCTTCCCGGGGGCTGTAGTCCAAGTGCTCTCAGGTGTCAGAAGCCTGGCCATTTCGTTTTATTGTCCCGGTCTGCAGGCACATCACAGAGGAAGTTCCTCTTCCCGAAGAAGGACAGAGTGCTGGCAGGGACTCTCATTTGGGTGTGCAGCGAGCTTCATTTGGAGCATAGAATAGTCCAGAGTCAAACCTGGATTAGAGTTCTGCTCAGTTTATCATGTTCACTTTGGAAGTCCAGCAGGACATGCTGCTGATTCTTGCTTCAGTGGGTTTGTTTTGGAGGATCTTGTATTAGCTCTTTGCTGCTTACATATGTTGGTCTTCCAGGAGGACCGAGATGGTGCACCTAATCCTTTAAAGAAATTCTATGATAGATAAAGATGCCTAAAAAAGTCTACATAAAAATGCTTGTCCTGTCAACATCTTTTAAGTTTCCTTCTCTTTCTGCATTTAGGCTGTCCATCTGGCCCAGGCAAGCTTCCAGATTGAAGCCTTTGGCTCCAAGTTCATTCTTGACCTCATACTGAACAAGTAAGTACACAGCAAAGCCTCTGAGGAAGCAGGGATAGTAAACCTTCATTTCTAAGATTCACCATCATAATGTCTGTGCTGAAGCAACTGATGTTTTCCAGTTGATTATGTGGCAAAGAAAACTTGAAGAAGAGGGAGAAGTTTGATTAGTAACTGTATCCTTATTTCCTTTTCCTGAAGAAAAACTTTTAACATGTTACATGTCCCAAATGGAGAATTTATACATTAGGATTTTATTTATTTATTTATTTTTTATTTTATTTTATTTTTCGAGACAGGGTTTCTCTGTAGCTTTGGTGCCTGTCCTGGAACTAGCTCTTGTAGACCAGGCTGGTCTCGAACTCACAGAGATCCGCCTGCCTCTGCCTCCCGAGTGCTGGGATTAAAGGTGTGCGCCACCATCACCCGGCTTACATTAGGATTTTAATAACTTTTATTGAGCTGTTGATGATTTTATCCTTCCATACATGTATAAAGAACTTTCTAGTTACTGTAACCTCACCTGTTACAGTAGTGCCCTTCCCACCTCAAATTCCCACCCTTTTGCTCTTTAAGTTTTCTTTCCACATTTATATCTTATTTTCTTTTTCTGAGGCCCACTAAGTTTAAGCAGAATTGTCCATGTTATTGTGGGGTTTGAAACTAGCCACTGGAGTCTAGTGGACTTATCAGTTGATATATAACCAAAGATAGTTATTACCCCTCCCCCAGAATCCATTAAAATAGACAGTAATTCAGTAAGGAGAGGTAGGGCCCTGTGCCCCTTTCTGATTAACTGTTGGTGGCCCCAATCTTGTCATATTATGGTTTTAAATAGAATAAATATTTGAATTATTCCTAGTTAATTAAATGCTAACTGTAGTAATCAGAATATAAGAAGCATAATAAACTACTGACTGAAGCATAATTAGACTTTAGTCTAGAAATTTCTTCCATTTTACTTTTTATAATGCACCACATGACTTATGTAGGAAGACGACAGTAAGCAATGACTAACAAGTGTCTATTTTGAGAAGACTCTTTGCTTCAGGTTTCACACTAATGTAGATTCTTTGAAACTTTGTACTGATGAAAATTTACCACATTGTCTCTGTTTGTTTATAAATTATATTGGTATTTAAATGCCTTTTCCCAAATCAGAACAGTTTATACAGGTGCTCTTGCCTTATCCAGGACTAAGGAGATCACATCAAACTGACACCAAACCTTTGGGGAAGGTGACTTCCTGTGTGGCTCTCTTCAGTTGCAGAAATGCTAGACAGGATTTTCAGCTCTCCTCAGTAGTTTAAACAGGACTACATCTTATAAGAAACTGTTAATTAATGCTACCGGACACCGTAATGCAGGTGACCACAGTCAAGATCAGTGGAACTGCAGAAGGCTATCAAATTTCTTGTATGCCAAATTCTGTCAGCTCTGCAGAAAAAAAAAAAGTGCAGAGTAAGCTTGGATGCTCCTTACTCAAGTGTTATTGCAGCTTTAAGTCAGAATGAGTCAGCAGAACTCAGAATTTCTGTGTTAAAGATATTGCAGGTTTTCTTCTTTGGTTGAATTCCAGTTCACCATGCTCTGTCAGCAGTGTGCCTGCATAAAGGATGGTCTTGCCAAGTCTTAGGCTCTGTTGAGTACCAGGATGTGGCTAATTTTAGTTTGTTTCAGCTCTTTGAGGTGGAGGTTAAAATCGGTGCTGCAGGGCACTCTGGAGGGCAGCTCTGCTTGCTTACCACTGCACCACCAGAACTGTCCCAACTGCTATGGAGTCTTAATATTAGCATATCATGACCCCAGCGGAACCTTCCAGTCAAAGAAGCGATGCCTGAGAAAGGGTCATATGGGATATCCCAGAGCACTTAGAGTTACAGAGGCAGACCAGAAAATATTTATTACCACTTAACACGAAAGGAATCAGACTGAATATCTCTTGTGGATATCCTTGTTTGAGGAGTTGGGGCTAGGTGGGGGTTGGTTGATAGAGATATGAAATGACTTTAGAAGAGTTGTGACGTGCACTGTGCTAATGGTTAACACAGAGTGCTATAGGGATGGGGCCAAACCCAAGAGGTTTACTCCTCTGTGAGTGAAGGCCAGAGAGTACGACCAGAGAAGGAAGAGTTATTACTTGCAGCCAATAAGATGGCTTTCCCCAAAGCACTGTCTCTTTGCACACAGAAGGCTAGGGATTTCATTCTGAAGACTCATGCGTATTCATATTGGGAAGAGTTGTCAGCACATGTCGACTCTTGAGAACTCCTGACCATGTGAATAAACCTCTTCATAAACCACATGTGCAAAGATGGTGCCTGGCAGCATCCAGAGAATATAACTTCTCACACAGAGGGTTTAGCATTATAACGAACAAAGTTTACTCTGGACAACTGGCTTCAACTGGTGCCGCATCTGCCTCCGATAACTACACACAATGGAAAGGATGGCAGGAGCCATTGAAAGGGACAGCATCTTATTCCGCATGCAACTAAAAGTTTCAGTTTTGCAGCTAGCCGTCTCACCAAGGAGAGGCAGACCTTTAGGCTGAGCGGATGTGAAGATTTATCTAGAAGGGACACTGCTGGACACCTACCTTGTTAGACAGGAGATTATCAGCGAGGAGAGCATTGGGAATGGAGAGGAAGAGGGAGGCAGAAAAGATGGAGAAGGGTACCCAGGCATCGGAAGGTCTCAGATTTAAGGGGTTCAAAAACAGTTCAGAGTAGATTATTTTTGGGATAAGACATTTATTAGAGGACACACGAACACTATAAACAAACAGGCGGGTGTAGTGGATTCCGAAGAGTGTTAAGACCCGCCAGGCTGACAGGGCCCCTTTTAGAGGTTTCTGAGACGTGGACAGGTCCTCTATGAAGTGGATGACTAGCCTACCGTCAATGCTTGCAGTCGGGTGGTGTCTGAGTCCCAGGAGAATTGGGAAAGGTTAAGTTCTTTAGTTACCATGTGTTTATCATACAGGAAGAGCACCTTAACCTCTGATTGCTAAAATTCCTTTGGGGAAGTGAGGATTACAGACACACAGACAGCACCATAGGGTGTCCATCGTTTCTTTTACAGCAGATAAAAGGGTACATAGAGAAAGAGGTCTAGTCCCAGTTTAGCAGATCTGTAATAGTGCATGCTGAGAAGGCAGGGTCGCATGATGTTGTGCATGAAGGGACAGTTGTTGAATTTTACATAAGTTAGAAGGGTGAGACAGAGGGAGACAATCCTGAAGATCTAAGCCCAGGATTGCTCAGCTTGCTGGGGTCTGGAACCCAGGTCCAGATGCTCCTGTCATGATAAAAACCAGTATTTAGGATATGAGTGTTGAGGACAGTAAGAGGCATATTCAGTGGTGGAAGAATGGAAAAGAGGGAACTTCGCTCACAAACTAGTCTTTGAGTTCCAAGCCGTTGAAGAGTTGTGATGTACTTTACCAAGGGAGACTGAGCTCTGTGACCAGGAATCCACCTGAGAAGAGGTGAAGAGCTTTCAGGGTTGACCTGACCTCTTTCGACTCCTTTCAAAGTCTGATATTCCTTGATGTGGAGCTGAAGGAGGAGGAGAGAGATTAGGTGGCTAGATCAAATTAGAATGTTAGAGCTCTGGATAAATCATTTCTCGTGGTCAGCTTGTCTGCAGAGCTGAGTATCAACTCCAAAGGTTAAGACAGAAGGAGCAGGAGGAGGAGGGGCAGGAGGAGGAGGACCAGGAGGAGGAGGGGCAGGAGGAGGAGGGGCAGGAGGAGGAGGGGCAGGAGGAGGAGGGGCAGGAGGAGGAGGGGCAGGAGGAGGAAAACAAGCAACTAAACAACAACCACAACAAATTAATGAATGTTGCACACTATAAAGAGAAAGATGCCAAGCCTTTCGTCACTTCCAGTCACCCAAGAAGCATATACAGGTCCCAGGGGAGAGTTAGCAGCCTTAAAGTCCCTTAAAAAGTAACCCAGGGAACATTGCGATTATAGCCCGCATAACAGAGCTGTTACTCAGGGCAGATCTATGGAGATTAGTAATGTGTCGCCCAGCTAGCTGTCTGCCGTCCAAAATTAGTGATCTCCACGTTGACCAAGAGCAAGTGAAGCTTGAGTGTTTAAATATTTTCCTTTGATAAAAAAAACTCATGGACAATGCAGTATTTGTGTTCAAGTGCTTAGGAACCATTTCCAAGGCTGTAAAAAGTCAAGGGGTCTTGTTCTCAGGTGGTGCTAAGAAGCAGGCTGCGGGGGGGGGGGGGGGGGGGGGGGGGGGGGGGGGGGGGGGGGGGGGGGGGGGGGGGGGGGGGGGGGGGGGGGGGGGGGGGGGGGGGGGGGAGTGCCCTTCTAAGACGTCTTCGGTTGGTCAGAATCATTAGAATTTGTTTGATGGGGATGACAAAGCCGTAGAAGTGTCTTGACTAAGTTTGTGTCTAGAGGGTGGCTGAATGAAGCTGCGGCTGAGAAATGGGAGCTGGCGGAAGTCACCTTGCGAGTCACTTCCATATAATGACAAGTATGTCTTTAAAGGAAAGAGGAGAGGGGCTTAGGCTGGAGGTGGGGAGAGGAACCAGGGAAGGAGAAGACAAGAGACTTGGACATAGGAGGAGAATCCGCAGAATAACGATGCTGACGGTTTCAGAACTGAAAGATATGATTGGCATTGTTATGTGCAGTTGAGTGCTCTGGGGAGTTAAGAAGCAAGGAGCATCCTTTGGATTTTCCGGCTGATTTGTCACTGGTGGTTGGAAGACAGCAGTTTGAGTGAAGCTTGGGTTGTTGTGGGGGAGGGGTCACAGGGTGAGGGATGAAAGAGAGAACATGACTTGGAGACAGCAAATGGCCACTGGACGATCGGCTGGGAGAAAGAGTCAGAACGTACCGGGGTTACTGTGATGATGGGATGAGTTGATTAACTGGAAGATGGAGCTGATGAGGGAGGGGTTAATGACACGGAAGGGGTAGTCTATGGAGCGGACCCTTGGATATCATTCTCCATTGCATTGAAAATGTGCTGTGATCATGTGGCATGCTT